TTAAAGCTGAAGATCATGGTTGGGTTTGGGTAAAGACAGCGAGAAGCCAACACCACCTCGGCTTCCGCGTCTTTCTAACTGTCCGTGTTTGTTTCGTTTTTTCTTGTTGTCCGAATGTTTGTGTTGCATAGGAATCCTAAAAATTTTAAAGTTTGTGTGTATTGGTGACGGTTTGGCAAGACCCACCCCACCACCGACAGAGCTAAGGGAACCAGAGGATTCCGCCCGCCACTACCCGATCCACGTCTTGTGTATGTTGATGTATGTTGATGTATGTATGTATGTATGTATGTATACATGTATGTGAATAGCTATATGTGTATATATGTATATATGTATATATGTAAACATGCGAATGCACGAAGATCGCTTTCATACTCGAGTACGCTCGTTACATAGATTTTATGGCGCCCAAYGGGGGGCCTGAAATTCGAAGAGAGAAGTTAACGCCCGCTGCATTCATACATAAGATCGATACATTACAGTTTTTATAACTAAATGCTTAAGTAAATATGCTCATTATTTGCTGGGCTATCCAATCATTGACGCACCTTTTTCTCCGTTATCTTGGGAATTCTCTAGTGCTGTTGTTGTTTCATTTGTTGCTGTTGTTGCTTGGAGAACTTTGCCGCATTTCCGGTCACATTGAATATTTGTGCTGACGCATCTTGGTTGCTCCATTGACGACAATGCAGAGAAAATCAACCTGAGCCACAGATCAGCGCGATCAAACATTGCGAATTTCAACAGAAATGCGACATTAACACAAATAGCCGTTCAGATGAGTATTTATATTGATTCTGTTTACAGATTTCGAAAAAGGTTGGAGAAGAAGCTGATGTAGTTGAGCAGGGAGCTGATGTTTCTAGAGCAGAGAGAGTCTGGCTATACGTAGGTGGAATGAATGAGAAGCTAAGATTATATTCCAATCAAGCTGGAAATGAACTTTGTATTAACTTTCATAATGAGTCTTGAGAATCGATAGTCCTACTCAAATGAGTATTTATATATATATTTAGTAAGAGGTGCAAAGAGTTGATGAGTATTGATCGATTATAGAAAAGATAAAGTCTGGGCACATGAATGTTTTTGAGTGAAATGAATGAGAGCTTAGATTGCATGACATCTGATCGATATTGGTTATCGAAGATCGATATTTGTATTCAGATAGATTATGTTAGACCAAACAGTATTGACATAGGCCAAGAATGGAATGAATGAGAAGCTATGGTTAAATAGTTCTTCATTAAATTAAGATGAATGGAGATGAATGGCCTAGGTCTGCTCTTAAAGTTCTGAGCGAGCATCACGCAGTCGGTTGAGTTTACATCTAAAGTTCTTTATTATTATTAAAATTATGTTTATCAAGAGTCAGTTGCAGTCAGGTGCGCTTCTCTCTCTCTCTCTCTCTCTCTCTCTCTCTCTCTCTCGCTCTCTCTCTCTCTCACACACCCACTCTGGCTGCTTTGTTTATCTTTTTGGGCAGAACGAGTTTTTGCAGCTGACATGCTTATTATCAAAGTAAGAAACGAAGAAAAAATTAAAATTAACAAATTATACGAAAACATCAGCTTCAATAAACAAATGAATAAATGCATGAATGAATGGATGAGTGGATGTGTGTTTAGCCACAGTCGAAAACGAATGATGTGTTTATTTTTGGCCAATGACTTGAAATTTGTCAATTCTGTCAGGCTAGGTCGGCTTAGATCACCTGTGCGCTAGAACAGCTAAATAGCTGTCYGACTGACTGACTGACTGATTGACCAAATGTGGGCAAATTGCGCAACTAACTAATTACGCGACTTAGCGGCGCCTCGCTTAGTTAGTCAGCATTGCCGGCGCACCTGAACACAGGCAGGCAAACAAAAGGCTAATAACAATTATAACGAAAAAAAA